CTAGAAATTTAACTAGGCCTTGGCAACTCCAAGTGCACGTTGAAAATAATTAGGACTTCATTTTGATAACTGCAGCTGATAACATTGGGTGCCACCAGGAGTTTTAGCCAGCTATCATTTGATTACTGCAGCTTGGGTTTTTCAAAAGTTTCAGGTTTTAATCCATGTAATGTGAAATAATTTATTATATATGTATGTATATATATATAAACCAAAAAACATCTGAACGGGGTCTGCTATTTTTGTGAAAATGTTTAGGAACAGTATGTTACATCACTCAGTGTCCCCTCTCTAAAAATCTAAATGAGAAATTTTATTCAGACGTGTTTAAGGAGAAGCTGTACTTCACCTAAGAAATCAATCTTTCTTTTCTTTATGGACAATGGAAGTCCTAATTGATTGTCCTTGAATTTTGCTTTGTTTTTGTTAGCTGCCAATGAGTCAGCCCCTAACTCATGGCAACCCCATGTTACACAATAGAACTGAGCTTTATAGGGTTTTCTGGGCTATGAACTTTACAGAAGCAGATTGCAAGGCCTTTCTTCCACAGTGTCTCTGGGTGAGTTCGAATCACTAACCTTTTTGTTGGTAACCAAGTACAAACCATGTGGACCACCCAGGGATCTAGTCATGATAAACCTTAAAACCATTTTTTGGGCTCAGTTTTAATGATTGTGTAGGACTCTATAAGTCTGTATAGAGCCTGCATATCTATAACTTCTTGATTGTCTAGCTATATATTTTCAGATTGTTTTTTATCTATATTTTACCTTGTATTCTTATAAACTGCCTCAAATCCCTTGTGTAAATAAGGCTCAGTAGTTACACACACACACACATATAAATCTCAAAAGCTGCTTTATTTCAAGACATGAGCATGAGTCCCGAGGGGAACTTTTTGGTGCAAGGATCCAGTGAATTGGGTGTGTCCCCAGCTGGACTTCTGAGAAATGAAAATGATATACATGAGTATGGCAGGTCTCAAGATTACATCTAGGTTTAGATCTGCTGACCTACCTGAAGTAGGAAGTTTAGATAAAAGCTACCATCTTATCATTTTTTCATTAACCCTTTAGCAAGAGAATTGAGAAACCAAACTGGGAACCAAGATTTATTGACTTAGCAATTTCTTCATGTGTGTTATTTTCACTATCCTCTTTTAATTCATAATAATAGCAGTGAAATGGGCCTATGTTTACTTTTGGGATCAGCAAGGATGAGAAGAGCTGGAAGACTGTGTAAAACTAATATGGGGAAGAAGAATTCCAAAGGTCAAGGAAAATGAGTGGTGAAAGCGTTTTAAAATGGTAAATAGGGTTAAGTCCCCAGCACCTACTGTAAGGAGGAAAAGAACAGAGTGATCTGGCCTTAGGCCCCAAAACCAAACCCGTTGCTGTCGAGTCCGTTCAACTTATAGTGACCCTACAGGACAAAGTAGAGCTGCCTCGTAGAGTTTCTGAGTATGTAATCTCTACAGAAGCAGACTGCCACATCTTTCTTGCTCAGTGCAGCTGGTGGGTTCAAACCACTGACATTTGGGTTAGGAGCTGAGCTCTTAACCACTGGTGCCCCCGGGGCTCCTCAAAATACCTTAGGCCCAAGAGGTAGTTCTTGGCATTTACTAATAAAAATTAGCTTATGTTTCCAGCATATAAATCAGTAGCCAGTTGCTGTTGAGTTAACTCCTACTCATGGCGACCCCACATGGGTCAGAGTAGAACTGTGAACCATAGGGGTTTCAGTGGCTGATTTTTTTGGAAATAGATCACCAAGTCTTTCTTCTGAGGAGCCTGTGGATGACTCAAACTGCCATCTACCATCCTTTCAGTTAGCAGCCAAGCACGTTAATTGTTTGCACCACCCAGGTACTCAACTAAACAGAAGGAAATGCTGAGCAGGACCCCAAATCTGCTCTAGAGCGATTTAAAGAATTAGAAAAGTTAAAAACATCCATTAATTAAATGCCTACCGTATATCCAGCATGTGCTAGGAGCTATGGGGATGTAAGAAAAATCAAGATTAAATATAAGATTTTTGAGATTTGGTTTATCCTGAATGAGAGAATATTCCAGATGGAGGAGGTCTCTATCTCCGTAATTTAAACAACAATATTGCTACTCTTAAATTTCTTTTCCTTCTTCTAAATTTATCTTTTTGATAGAATGAAGGGTAGGTCAACATTAAAAATTTAGATACCAAAGAAATGAAGAGGATGGTCTAGAGAAGAAGCAGATTTAGGAATACATATGTATGTACATAAACACAGTAAATGAAAGAAATATCTAACTATTCAAGACCAAACCAAACCCGTTAACATCAAATCGTTTCCGACCCATAGTGACCTATTAGGACACCAAAAATATTTTCATTTAAATAAAAGCCTTTAATTCAAAATTAATTGTAGGAATGTCAAATTGCAATGTGGGAATCCTGGAAATGATCAGAAGAGGATATTAGCATATACAAAACTCTTTATATTCCAAGATAACCAGTGAAGAAAATGTGTGGGTAATATAAAAATCACTTCTATTTTTGGGATGCCTTATATACTTTTCAGGAGCCCTGGTGGCACAGTGGTTAAGATCTTGGCTGCTAACCACAAGGTTGGCAGTTTGAATCCACCAACTGCTCGTTGGAAACCCTGTAGGGCAGTTTTACTCTGTCCTATAGGGTCACTATGAGTCTTTAGTGACTCAACAGCAACGGGTTTTTTTTAAAATGTATTTTTCAACAGAATTTCCTTTTTAATTACAGGATTAAAGGGAACCTAAAGAGATGAGATGATCCAGAACCCTGATGTCAAGTAACTGAGTGATTATTCTCCTGGAAATGCTCTTTCCATAAATTGTTGCAGAAATTAACACTGCCTGGCCTTACTTTGCGCCATTCCAGTATTTTAACAATTGTGGTTCAAGAAGTTATTCTTTGTTTTTACTATATTTAGGTTTTTTTTTTTTTTTTTGGTTGTTGTTGGAATAGAGAACAACTGTAGTTAGCATCTTTTAAATTAAATATCTTTTATCTATTTGAGTACTAGGTCTTAGTCTAGTTTCTTGGTACCATATCCTTCAACTTTCTCAAAAACTATTTTCCATTCTTATAAATGCTTTTATTGTTATTCTCTGTACCTCATTAAGTTTATCTTCATTTCGAAGAGAGTTGTAAGATACAGAGAAAGATTTAGTCTTATTGCTTTTACTTGCCTGTCTCCCCTTTGAGGGCAGTAGTACACTCCTTTACTTCTGAGTACTCTACATCTAACCTCTTGTCTCATATGTAGAATATATTCAATAAACGTTTATTGAATGAATAAGTGTATGTTTTATTCTGTTCACACATCTTCATAGCATGCTAGTTCTCATTTTTCTCAGGTAACGCAGCCATTTATTTAATCTGTACCAGAAAACTGAAGCTTAAATTTATTTAGTGACTTTCCCATGGTCACAGAGCCCTCACTTTTTAGTGTAGGGATTCCAAATGAAGAACTAGTACTACATTTCCCCACCTTGTATTTCATATCCAAACTCTTCAATACCCCAAATAAATTTTAAACACTTTAACTACATGGTTTTTCTCCATGAAGTGTTTAAAAAATAAGAAAAAAAAAGTCTCCTTTCCTTCACTTTTTGGCTCTGGAATTACTCTCTGCCTCCAATCTCTCATCTCTCTACCTGGGCTTCCACGCTGCAGCCAGAATCTGCTCTCTAAAGTGCAAATGTAGATCGTGTTACTTCCTTAACTTAAAAACCCTTCAATGGCTCCCCATCGTCTGCCAGATTAAGTTCAAACTCCTTGGTATCCTTAACAAGGTACTCAAATATCTGGGTCGCTGTTAGCCGGAATCGACTCAAGGCAATGGGTAACTACTTCTACAGTCTTATCGCTCATCATATCCTCTTTTGCATTCACTTAGCTGGTGGTATCAAGCTTCTTACAGTTCTCTGAACACAACAGCCTGTTTCATTGATCTCTCAGCCTGGAACTACCTCCCTCACCCCACCAAAAGACTCTAGGGCCACTTCTGTTAAGAAATCGTCCTTGACCACTCTCGCAGGGAGAAATGATTGCTTCGCTTTGCCTGTGCCCACACCCCTAGAGGTTTATATCACAAAGTCTGTACCGTTTTATTGCATCTGTTTACAAGTAACCACTGTCTCATTCTCACGCCCCAACTATACTTCTTTATACCATAAGGTACTCACACAGTCTCTGGCACACAGTGATGCACTAAAAATGTTCAATGAGCGAACAGAGGGCGGAAGAAGGAAGGAGAAGCTTTTTGGGAGACTACTAGTCCTGTACTGGACATGCGAATGATGAGTTGTGAAGGTCAATAAGACATGATGAGTTGTGAGGAATCCTGTCTTCAGACACAACTTTGTTGGGACGCAAGATATCCACACCAAACAGTTAACATTAGGAGATAATAAGAAATCTCAGTGAAAATGGATTCTACAGACAACTATTACAGAAACTTAGAGGCTGGGGATGTTTCTGTTGAGGGTGACGGAGCTGAAAAGGGTTTAACTGAGTGCCTTCTAGGTGCTACGCATCTTTCACGCGTTAAAACATTTAATCTTTACAACAACCCTATGAGGATATCATATCCATTTTAGAGACGATGAAACATGCTCAGAGTAGGTCGCTCAACGTCACAAACTACCATGTGGCAGAACTATAATTTGAATTTAGGTAAGCTGCCTCCGAGGCCCCGGTCCTTTCACTAAAAATCCCTCCTCCGCGGTTCAGTGCCACCAAGCTCGGGAGTCACCTCACCAAGTACACACGCTCCTTTCCCGCAGTAACTGGAAGCGCCGCAGCAGAGCCGACCCCCTTTCGCTTCGCCTCCTCGCGCTCAGTGCGCAGGCGCGTCCAGCAGCTTTCCCCACCCGGCGGGGCGGGGCCGGGGGCGGGGCCGCGTCCCTGCAGCCGGCAGAGGGCTAGCCGCTGCAGAGACAGCGTCCAGGGTTCTGGGCGGTTGACGGACGGCGGGCCGGCTCCGGCGCCGCGGCCGCGCTCTTGGAGGTGGTGGGCGGGGAGGAGAGGGGAAGGAAGAAGGGCGGGCGGGCGCAAGGCTGCGGAGGAGGAGGAACTTGTTGCGCCCGCGGCTGCGCGGTGCCGCTTTCTCCGCTCCAGTTCGCCCAGGCCGGCTCGGCGGCGGCGGTGGTGGCGGCAGCGGCAGCGCGGTACTAGGGCGATGCGGCGCTACCTGCGCATCGTCGTGCTGTGTCTGGGCTGCGGCTTCTGCTCGCTTCTCTATGCCTTCAGCCAGCTCGCCGTGTCACTGGAGGAGGGAGCAGGCGGCGGTGGCGGGAAGCCGCAGGCCGCAACGGCTTCCTGGCTGGCGGGCGGCGGACGCGGCGCCGCGAGATGGGCTGGCAGCGCGGACCCCGGGGCGCGTCCCGGCTGGTCCGACAGGTACGGGCCGTTCCCTGTCTTTGGGCCGGGGCGGGGGGCGCGGGACGTGTCCCGCCCGGGCTGCTTGCTGTCCGGGCTGCTTGCCGTCCGTGCCGCGCGTCCAGCGCTTCCCGCCGCGGGCCCTCTCCTCCCGCTTCTTTGCTGCGGTCTCTGACCCCCTTTCGCGCATTTGCCTCCTCCCACTCAACCCCGGGGTGACCCCGGCGCTGCTCCAGCTCCAGAGCATCCTGTACTTATCATCTTTGGCGTCTGACCCTGTTCTTTATGTGTTCTTCAAAGCAGTTAGATGTTAATATTCAAGTTTTAATAGCTGCGCTCCCCCTCCCCCCTTTAGGTTTCGTTGAAAATAAGGGGTGTCCTACAAAAGCCTTTCTGCTGTCTGGCTAGTGAGAATTCTCTCTTGTCTCCATGGAGTTGAAGTTGAGATATTTAAACAGGCTGGCGCCCCAGTTCAGCTTTTTTTTCCCCCTCTTGAAAAGGCCATCTAATTTTTGTGTGTTGACATTTAAATTTTTAATTATTAGTAGCGGTTAGTTAAATCTGGACATGGCATTTGTTCGGGTTGTGAATTTTTCTTTTGAAAACAATTGATTTGTGCTGAAACTTGTAGCCACTTAAAAATGAGCGATAGTCTCTTTTAAGATGGGATGAAGGTATCTTTCTTTACAAATCGATAGTTAAAAAAGCAGTATAATAATGATTCAGGTAGATTTACACAAATCACTGCCAGAGTTGGAATCAACGTGGAATTTAGATGGGAAAAGAGTAGGTTTTTGGCAACGCATTATGAATGCTTCACAAAATCTGGGTGTTTGCACTGCCTTGAAAAACAGGCTTGGGCAGCCTCGTCTCTAGAGGGAGCTACCCAGGGTGTTCCCTACCAACATGCAGATACTACTTTCATACAGGAAAATATCAAATTGATAAGGAGAGAGTGCAACAAGTTTGCATGCATAAGGGGAAGTTTGGGCAGAGGAACAGCATGGAAAAGCTGGATCATGCTTTTACTTTACGATTTAATTAAGATCAGGTGAGTACCTAAGCAATCAGCTCTAGGCTGTTGTTTAACATCGTTCTGAGTTGATGGTCATTCCCAGAATGAAAAGGGGACGTTTAGGCAGACGAACAGAATGGAAAAGCTAGATTGCCATGTTTTTACCCTATGATTCAATTATGGAGCAGACGAATTCCTAAGGCATCAGGACTCTTCATAAACACAGATTTACTTCCAGAGCTAGTTTTGGCAACCTTCAATTATCTGTCATGGCAGAAGCTGAGACTGAAGACTTGAATGAGCTCATGAAAAATGACAGATGGAATCTAAGCTGTTTATAGTCTGTTGTGTTATTGTGAGACATTTACAATTATAGAAAAGTTATTTTTGTATAGGGTAGAATTGTACAGAAGCGACAGTTTAACCAAAACTGAGTGAAATTAAACTAGGGTATTAGCATTTGGTTTGATAGAGTAACATTTCATTTTTAGCATTTTGTCTTAGATATTTATACTTTATTTTGTGACAGATTTTTATAAATTGTATTTGTGTGTTAAGTTGGCCAGCTAATTTTAACAGAATTACTTTATGTGAAATTTAGAAAATAAGTACCTCTGTTTTAATATTTTATAGAAGCATTACTGAAATCTTAAGTTTGATGTGTCAGAGTTGAGTCACTAAAAAACTATACTTTTATAGATCCTCTGAACAGCATAACTCTTCGTTTTAAATGAGGCATACATCTAAGTTACAACTAAAGGTTTATCCAGTCTTTGTAAAAATGCGGTGAACTACATTTCACCAGATTTGTACGCATGAGGGGAAGTTTGGGCAGAGGAACAGCATGGAAAAGCTGGATTGTCATATTTTTACTTTATGATATAATTAAGGCCAGATGAGTGCCTAGGACATCATCAGGACTATGTATTCATAAAAATAGAACTACTTCTGAAGCCATGTTGGAAATTTTATTTTAGATATTATTTATAGCATCTTTGTAGATTACTCAGAGTTAAAGCAACTTTTTTGGCTGTCCTGGGATATGGAGTAGTTATCCTCAACCTCTTTTCTATGTATTAAAGTATTTGGCCAAGGTCCAAAGGGCATCAGTAATTGGACCAGGATTAGAACTGTGTATCCTTTGATTTTTCTATAAGTGCTATTTCTATAAAACTGCTGTGATAAGTTTCTAGCCTTGATAGCATTTCAACAGTGGATAATGGGGCCATGAAACAAGCCAACATCTTCCTCTTTTTCTTAGAACTTGATTATCATTGCATTCTTACTTTTTTCAAGCAGTCTTTCCTGAAAGATTAGAACTGTTAGGTTGTCTTTTGTTTAAAACATGGGATCTAGGTTTGTACCCAGTGTATTCCAATGGTCATATCTTACAGAAAGTAGTCATTGCAGAGTTCCATGACAACAAAATATGTGGAAAGGTCCTTCCAGGTTCTTAAAGTTAAGAACTGTAAAATAATAAGAACGATTTTTCAGTGAAATCCATTCTTAGTGCATTATGTTTCAAGCCATCATTTTAGTATGCAGAAAATACAAAGTTCTTACAGTCAGACAAGCCTTTATTTCCATACTGGCTCTGGTTGCTGTGAGACCTTGGCCAAATTGTATCACCTCTCTGCTTCAATTTCCTCACCTGTAAAATGTAGCTAATACTTACCTTACTTAATTTGTAACAGAATTCTTAGTTGCCAGTGATTAAAATCCAATAAAACTAACAAGCAAAATGGACTTTTATTGGCTTGTATGGGTCACTGGAAGGAACAGAATTAAAGGAAGAATTGCAGATAACCAGGGCAACTCCAGGGACCTCAAGGACTCATTCTCTTCCACTGCATACAGGTTTTGTTCATGGGACCTTTCTACTCCTTAACAGTGTTTCTTCTCTAATCTTATGTAGAAAATCCAGGAGAAAGGTTCTTCTTGGACTTGCTTGGATGACATGCTCATCTGTGGGCTAGTCAGTGTGGGCTGCGAATATGGACCTCCGCTTCACTGGCTCTGTGACACTTGCACATCCCTATGGTAGACAGAATAATGTGATTGGTGTTGGAGAGGAGTGGCACCTCAAAGGAAGGGCACTGCTGGGTATACAGTGTCTCTCTCACATAGACTCTACGAAGCTATTCAATATGGACAGATTGTATTAAAGTATTCAGGATAAGCCCGTTGTTGTTACCAGGTATCAGAACTTCTGCAGAAGGAGTTAAATCACTGTGTAACTTTTTAAGCTTTAACTAGACAGGCTGATAAAGTTCTCACATTTCACATGAATCTTAATGGAGTGATTATCAAGATTTCATCCTGTTGCATCTGTACAGCTTTATGATAATGAGGAGTCAAGAAACTACTTGGCATGGATTGAATTGTGTCTCCCAAAAATGCGTGTCAACTTGGTTAGTCCATGATTCCCAGTGTTGTGTGATTATCACCATTTTGTCATTTGATAAGATTTTACTGTGTGTTGTAAATCCAGTCACTATGATGTAATGAGATGGATTATTGCCAGTTATATTGATGAGATCTACAAGATTAGATAGTGTCTTAAGCCAATCTCTTTTGAGATATAAAAGAGACAAGTGAGCAGAGGGACACCGGGACCTCATACCACCAAGAAAGCAGTGCCGAGAGCAAAGCATGTCCTTTGGACCTGAGGTCCCTGTGCTGAGATGCTCCAAGACCAAAGGAAGACTGATGCATCACAAGGACCTTCCTCCAGAGCCGACAGAGAGAGAAAGGCTTCCCCTGGAGATGGCTCCATGAAATCAGACTTCTGCCCTACCGGACTGTGAAAGAATAAACTTCTCTTTGTTAAAGCCATCCACCCACTTGGTGGTATTTCTGACCAAGACATTACTAAACATTTCAGTGATGCCGTTTCTAGACCTGACATGCCTCATTGTGACACACAGTGGTAGTCACTTCACACTTTTTCACATCTGGTTAGGCCATTGAGTTTCATGTCCAGTTAGGCCACTGAGTTATTTCTATTGGGTCTTGTAAACACTAGTAGGATATACTGAGAATTTAAAGACTGGAAATCTTTGAAGTCACAGACTTCAGCTTTGCCACTTATTGGACATGTCTTCTCGTTTGTTGAATAGAGATAAGAGTTTGTGTGATACTGGGTTGTTTGTGAGAATTGAAATAGCATGTATAGATTATGTAGTATGGTGCCTGGCCCAACAGAGCTTCAGAATTGTAGCTAATACGGTGATGGTTTTGGTAATTAAAATTTTCTTTCATATTTTTTAAATTGTGATTTTGATAAAGATTTAAAGAGCAAATTAGTTTTTCATTAAACAGTACGCATATTGTTTTGTGACATTGGTTGCCAACCCTGTGACATCAACACTCTCCTTCTCGACCTTGGGTTCCCCATTTCCATTCATCCAACTTTCCTGTCCCTTCCTGCCTTCTTGTCCTTGCCCCTGGACTAGTGTGCCCATTTAGTCTCATATACATGGTTGAACTATGTGTATTGTTTGTTTTATGGGCCTGTCTAGTCTTTGGCTTAAGGGTGAACCTCAGGAGTGACCTCAGTACTGAGTTAAAAGGGTGCCCAGGGCCTGTAGTCTTGGGGTTTCTCCAGTCTCTGTCAGACCAGTAAGTCTGGTCCTGTTTTATGAGTTAGAGTTTTGTTCTACATTTTTCTCCAACTCTGTCCGGAACTCTATTGTAATCCCCATCAGAGCAGTTAGTAGTGGTAGCTGGGCACCATCTAGTTGTGCTGGACTCAGTCTGGTGGAAGCTGTGGTACTTGCAGTCCATTAGTCCTTTGAACTGATCTTTCCCTGTGTCTTTGGCTTTCTTCATTCTCCCTTGTTCCTGACAGAGTGGGACCTGTAGAGTATCTTAGCTGGCTGCTTGCAAGCTTTTAAGACCCCAGATGCTACTCACCCAAATAGGACGCAGAACATTTTCCTTTTAAACTATGTTATGCTAGTTGAGCTAGATGTCCCTCGAGACCATGGTCCCCAGTCCTCAGCCC